TTGTGAGCCTCTAGCTGTGTAAGCAGTGCTCACAGAATTCTTCACACCACCTAAAGTTTGACTGATCACACAGATCATGAAATTTGATTGATTATGGCGGTATGACGGGATTGGTTACTTACTGAGGTGATGCACAACAACACTCTTATTCTATTCAAATATGTTGACGACCAGATTGTTCTGTTGTTTTGTTTTACTTCAGGGTAAGAGAGATGGAAGTTGGGGTACTTAGAGGACCTGTTCTGTCAGCCCATTGAAGACAGCTAACATCTCGGATTTTTACATCGATGACCACTTTTTTGACTTCTGTGAAATCAGCACTGTCCAGCCAAAAAAGAGTCATAACATTCACTCAAAATAGAGGATTGCTTAGGGAAGTGTGCATTGGTGATAACGCACAGTTCCAGGATGTAGAAATTGATGACAGTCAATGGCTTCTGCAACACAACGACGAAGAAATACAGGAGTCTTGCTTGCAGAGGAACACTGTGATTCTTACAAGTTCTTACAAGTCTCACAGTCTCACAGAATGATGATTGATGTCTGTATCACTTGTCTTACAATATCACAGCAGCAACACACAGAGTACTCAGTTGAAATGGTGGACCACAACTGTCCTCAGTCTAGCCTATTTATATGCATAAATGGCCCAGATTCAGGGACACCACTTGGGTTTCCACATGAGCCAATCAGAATGTGGCCTTGCTAGCGGCTGTCTTACGTAAGCAAGTCAGTAGATCGTAAACATCCTTTGTTATGTAAATCACAAGCACACCTGTTAGATTCCAATTGTCCTTCCACAGTTGTGAACAAGTATGACCTGTCAATCACCTTTATGACAGTTATAACACGGCAATGCACACCGCCTCTTCCCATGATTCCAGGTAATATAAAACAACATAGAGTAAAGGATGCTGACAGAGTCCATTTCTGAAGCTCTCTATGAATAACAGGGAGAACCTGTCTAGAGCCTCATTGATCTTGTCAGATTATAGAACAGCATCCTGCTTGTGTATTCCTCAGTGTTATTAGAGTTGTCTGAAGTTGGGAGAGCGAGTTGAAATATATTCTGAAAGATATATTGTATTTACGAGTTTCTGGTGAAGCTGAGGTTGTACCTACTCCAAGACGGCTGTGCAAAAAAGATGAACTTAGACATTTCCATCTTTCACCACCTAATGTAAGACTATATTACCCCTGACGTCTACCTGAAGATATGCTCATCTGTATTTGTATCATTGAACACATCGTCTTCAAGTAGTCAGTGAGTTGTTCACTACGCTTTTAGTACAGGGTGGGGGTCAACTCTCTGTGATGTCTTTCCTTGTTTCTTATTGGCCCTATAAGGTGAAGGTCGTTATCAATTAGACAGTAAAAGCTGTTTGCTTCTTCAATGCTTTGGTGATCGCTTCATTAAGAATGTTGCTAACAACACAAACTGGCGTTGGCGCTTGTCATTCAGCTAACAGCTGGTCGATGTATTCATTCAGAATCGCAATACTGAATGTAAATATACCTTTTCGGGGAGATATTTTTAGCAAACCAATCACGTGACTGACATTGGGGAATAATCAGTCAGTAGGTAGCTTTTTATTTGACATTGACTTAAACGTGACTACATGTTGCAATTTTTACATCAATTCATGTATACCATAAAGACCATATATCTTTGTTTTATACTGACGTGGAAACGTAGTGTGGTTTTGTTCTTATCGATTCGTTGTCAGTCATTAGATCACCATCTGCCAACAAGTCTAGACAGTATGTTCGGATTAAATATTTTAATTTATATTATAATGATGGTGTTCCGGATGTTGTCAACAGTATTAGATCTTATTAGCGTATCATTTCAGTGTAATGTATATTAGTGGAATATGTGAATATCCACATGTGTATGTATTCTGCTTAGTATGCTCTATTATTAAAATCAGACTGCGTGGTTATAATTCCTGTACTACCGGATGTTATGGTTAAATATTAACATGTGAAAGATTTGCTCCTGAATTTGTCCCAAGGGTATATTCAATGCGATTTTCAAATGTATCTTCCCATCAATGTGACATTTTGTGGCCATGTTTG